AATATTTATGTTAATTTTTTATTGCATTGCATTACGCCAAGTTTGAAATATATTGGTACATTTTTCAATCTAATTTTACACTAGTTATAAAAAAATTTTGTAATATTAATGTTGTTGTTGTTGTTGTTGTTGTTAAACGTTAGTATGAAAAACTCGTGGATATAGAACCATATATAGTACAGACGTCAGATGTGTTAAGTACCCAGCAAACAGAAAAAAGAGCTCATGATAGTGACGAAGATAAAAGGTGCATATAAAAAAAAAACTGATATTTAAAAGATATTTAAAAAATATTATCCATTTTCAAGACTTTAATCTGAATTCCTACCTATCTCAATACAAAAGAAATGAGAATTACATAAGAAAGAAACAGAGGCAAGAATCCTTGTCTCCAAAAAGGCGTTCCGCTTCTCCGCCTTCCATTTTACCAGAAGTATCTGCGCTGACCTATGAATCGTCACCAACTGTCAGCAATGTGATTTCAGGTGACGATCCCTTGACAGAAATGATTGCGGAGACCAAACATCTTGTAGATGAGGTAAATTGTTTATATATCTTTTTTGTAGCTTAATTTTAACTATATATTTAAGGTTTATGATTTCGTAATCTTTAAAGGGGTTTCTGTTGGATGATTACGATGATGAGTCTCAAAGCGTGCAAGGCGAAATGTCGGATTCAGAAGATGAGATGATCGAATCATCAACGCAGAACGAAAAAGGCCCAACCAAATCACAAAGAGTTACTTCTGAAACATCTGATAAAAAAAAAAAATTTTGATTTATTTTTTTTTTTTTTTTACTTTTTTTTTTTTTTTTTTTTTTAACTTTCAATTTGATATATATATATTTTAAAGTCTTTCAAAGGGCAATTTATTTGCATGCATAAACATACATATGGAGAAGATGATGCTAGCCCAAATAAATTGATAATTGATAAAGTCTGTGTCAAAAGAAAAAAAATTAAAGCATTTAAAAATATGATTGACTCTGAAGCTCACATTTAAATTTTGTCCACTGTAAATTATAGCTTAAAGTGTTATTGGATCATTATCAACGTATGAAAGATGAATGGAGGGTTCTAAGTTATCGTAAGGCTATTTCTGCAATTAAAAGGCAAAAAGAACCAATTACTTCTTATCAAGAAGCTATAGAAATTCGTGGTATAGGACATCGCACTGCTGAAAAGGTAAATCCATTTTTTCTCGTGTTATAACGATAACGTTTGTTTATGGGAATAATTTAATTTTACCTAATTTAATTTTTAATTTTAATTTTAACGTTTGTTTATGGGAATAATTTAATTTTACCTAATTTAATTTTAATTTTAATTTTAACGTTAACAGATCGCAGAAATTATTAATACAGGAAATTTAAAAAGATTGCAGCATTTTTCAAAAGACGATGAAGTGATTAAGAAATTCAGCGATATTCATGGTAGTTTATTAATTGTTTATTATTGTTTGTTCAAAGATTTTTGTGTATTACTAATCTCATCTAATATTAAACTCATCTAATATTAAACTCATCTAATATTAAACTCATCTAATATTAAACTCATCTAACATTAAACTCATCTAACATTAAACTCATCTAATATTAAACTCATCTAATATTAAACTCATCT